TTTGAGATCACTCATATTTTCCATCAAAAATCGATTTTTGGTCAAAAAACTTAAGAAAACTAAAATCGCTTATAACATCGTTAAAACACGTTTAAATGGAAAAATAAGCTTATTTTGTGATCACTCATATTTTCCTTCAAAAATCGATTTTTTGGTCAAAAAACTTAAGAAAACTAAAATCGCTTATAACTTCGTTAAAACACGTTTAAATGGAAAAATAAGCTTATTTTGTGATCACTCGTATTTTCCCTCAAAAATCGATTTTTTGGTCAAAGAAATTAAGAAAACTAAAATCGCTTATAACTTCGTTAAAACACGTTTAAATGGAAAAATAAGCTTATTTTGTGATCACTCGTGTTTTTCTTTAAAAGTCGATTTTTTGGCCAAAAATTTTACGAAAACTAAAATCGCTTATAACTTCGTTAAAACACGATTAAATGGAAAAATAAGCTTATTTTGTGATCACTCGTACATTCCCTCAAAAATCGATTTTTTGGTCAAAAAACTTAAGTAAACTATAATCGCTTATAACTTCGTTAAAACACGTTTAAATGGAAAAATAAACTTATTTTGTGATCACTCATATTTTCCTTCAAAAATCGATTTTTGGTCAAAAAACTTAAGAGAACTATAATTGCTTATAGCTTCGTTAGAACACGTTTAAATGGAAAAATAAGCTCATTTTGTGATCACTCATATTTTCCCTCAAAAATTGATTTTTTGGTCTAAAAAATTAAGAAAACTAAAATCGCTTATAACTTCGTTAAAACACGTTTAAATGGAAAAATAAGCTTATTTTGTGATCACTCGTATTTTCCCTCAAAAATCGATTTTTTGGTCAAAAAACTTAAGAAAACTATAATCGCTTATAACTTCGTTAAAACACGTTTAAATGGAAAAATAAGCTTATTTTGTGATCACTCGTATTTTCCCTCAAAAATCGATTTTTTGGTCAAAGAAATTAAGAAAACTAAAATCGCTTATAACTTCGTTAAAACACGTTTAAATGGAAAAATAAGCTTATTTTGTGATCACTCATATTTTCCTTCAAAAATCGATTTTTTGGTCAAAAAACTTAAGAAAACTAAAATCGTTTATAACTTCGTTAAAACACGTTTAAATGGAAAAATGAGCTTATTTTGTGATCACTCTTGTTTTTCTTTAAAAGTCGATTTTTTGGTCAAAAAACTTAAGAACACTAGAATGGCTTATAACTTCGTTAAAACACATTTAAATGGAAAAATCGCCATACTTGAATGTTTAGGCCAGTAATGAGTGTTAAAGTCACTTTCTGAAGGGGAGCTTATATGGGGGGTAGGGTCAATTATGGACCGATCCTTAAAAAATTTGGTAGAAAGATTTCGGCTCATATGAAACTAATTTATGTCGAATTCCATCGCTATACTCGAATGTTTAGTCCAGTAATGAGTGTTAAAGTCATTTTCTGAAGGGGACGGTATATGATGAGTAGGGTCAATTATGGACCGACCGTCAAAAAATTTGGTAGAAAAATTGTGGCTCACATTAAACTTATTTTTGTCGAATTTCATCGCTAAACTCGTACTTATAAAACAGTTATGCCCGTTAAAGCTGTTTTTTGGAGGTCCACTTGTATGGGGGCTATCCGAAAACGTGGACCGATATTTTCAATACCAAACAAACCTTAGCAATAGAGAATATTTATGCAAAATTTCAACTGTCTAGTTCCTCCCGTGTAGTCCCTATCGTGATTTCAACAGACAGACGGACGGACATGGCTGGATCGTCTTAGAATTTAATAAGGACCCAGAATATATATTTTTATGGGTCTATGACCAATATTTCGATGTGTTAGAAACGGAATGACAAAATACCCCCATCTTTTTTGATGGTGGGTATAAGAAGATAATCAAAAGTTAGCAGCTTATTTAGCAGGCTATTTTACTACTACTACGTGCAAGAATATTCTCAAACAGTATTTGGTTGGCCTTAATCAAAATGAAACACACCTTCAAAAAAAAAAATAATATATAGAACACAATGAATATATACTGTCTTAATGGGGGCTTCTCTTTTTTATATTTTTTTTGCACATTTCTTAACAATATACAACAAATAATTTTAGATATAAATCTAATGAAAGTAAAACATAATTCAAAAAAATTTTATATTTTTTTCAACTCAAGGATAAAACGTTTTAAAACATTACATGTATTTGTATGTATGTATTTATGCATGAGAATGTAAGTGATGTTGCAGCTGTAGGTTTAAATATTGGCTACACACTTTTAGTTGTTTTGGTCGGACATTCGTTATTTGGATGGTTGTTGGTTTGTTGGTTGGTTATTTGCCATAATTTAGTTTAAACATGATAAGAAAATACTGGCCATAAACAATAATATTAAACGAAGAAAAGGGTGTTAAGCTGTATAAATATGATTTAAAATACTGTTAAAGTCCAGCAAATAATAAAGTGTGCGGACAAAAGTTATAATCGACATAGTAAAGCATAAATTTCGGTGCAAAACGAACAATTTCGTATGGCACGACGATTCGTTACGAAAATTCTTCGAATTGAACACAATAAAAGTTGACGTACTGCTAATTCTTTTCATAACCTTCTTTTCATAACGTACGAAATGGGGAAATTGGTACACATATTAGGAAAAGAACTAAAATAATCTGTATGATTTTGAGATGATTTTAACAGGTTTAACATTTTTTCGAACTTTCGAAATTAATGCCAAAATTCGAATAATTTCGAATATAGTCATCAATTCAACGAACTTCCGAATCCGGCCTACAGGTACTGGTTATAATGATTTTAAAAATTTTTTAGTTCGAATTTTATATTTTGGTTTTTCTTTAATTTTTATGCGTGAGAAATAGAAATCGCTTAGTGCGAGATAAATGACGAATTTCGGACTATGCAATGATTGTCTACATTTTCATACACAATCGTGTGTTCTATTTCTGACGACGAATACCCGATAATTTCATAATTTTTACGTTCGAAATGGGAAAATACCTATTAGAAAAAAACCAAATAATCTCTATGATTTTGAGATCATTTTAACAGGTTTAAAATTTTTTCGAACATTACTTCGAATTTTCGAACTAATTTCGTATATTGTCATCAAGTGTACAACGGACTTCTAAATTTCAGAAAATTTGGACTAGGTACAGGAAATAGAAATCGCTTGGTGCAAGACAAATGATGAATTTCGAACTAAGCAGTGATTGTGTACATTTTCATACACAATCGCGTGTTCTATTTTTGACAACGAATACCCGATCCAAAAAATTCTTTCATCATTCTTTCCAATTGTATATACTACAAATCGTAAGTTTCATACATGTTTTAAACATTAAAACCCGTAGATCCTTTAAAGTCTCGTAATAGGTGTACTTTACAAATGCTTACTTTAGTTCTGTTCCTAGAATATAGATTTTTTAATTTAAACTTTAATCGTCGATCACTTTATATTTAGTTATAGTTCAAGTAGTTCTTATATGGTCCTAGTTTTGTGTTAAACACAGATATTTGTAGTCTTAGTTTGGTCTTAATCGAGATCCTTTCGTTGTCACAGTTTAGTTTTAATCGTAGTACCAGAAATTTATATAGTCTTTGGTTAGTTGAAAATCGTAGTATATTTTGCTATGATCTTTATATAGCTTTAGTTAAGCTTTGGAGGTAGAAATTTTCACTTAAATTCTTATCATTGGTCTCTTCATAAAAATTACGACTTTTATATACAAACATAGTTTTTATCAATCTCAGCTCGGAAATCTTTATAGTCTTAGTTTAGTTCGATTTACAGATCGCTATATAGTATTACTTGATTATTCATAGTAGATCATTATTTGGTCTTATTTAAGCTGTATTCGCATTCTTAGTTTAGTTTTCTTTTCAGATCTTCATATAGCTTAAGTTAAACTTTGAATGTAGAACTTTTCTGTTAAATTTTAAACTTCGTTCTTTTAAGCCTAAAACATCGCATTCGTGATATTTTGATAGTTTCATTTAGTCTCTACTCGGAGATCTTTCTAGACTTAGTTTATTATTAAACACAATTCTTTATAAAGTAATCATTGCATAATATTTGGTACGATTAAAGATAGATCTTTATATAATCCCAGTTTAACTTTTAAATTTATATCTTTATATTGTTATAGTTTAACTTTAATCTTAGTTAGTCTTAAACAACTTTAATCCTAGATCTTAGCTTGGTCTTAGTTTAATCGCTTTAATCGAAAATCTTTTAGTTCTTATGTTAGATCTATATACAATCTCAGTTTAGCTAATTGTAATATTTGTATAGATTTACTATTAGACCTTTATATTGTCTTAGATTGGTTATATGAATAAGTTATTCAGGCTCGAGTTCGAATCCTGCGTAAGGCAGGAAAATAGATCGAAGTTTACTAGATTTTTCAGTGTTATATTTATATCACCATTACTCTTTATAATTGCTTTAGGCATTAAGTTTCTAAAATATCGATATACTGTTCGTAGACCCACAAAAGTAAAAATATTCCGGGATTTTATTAAATTCTATGATAATATAGGCAAGTCCGTCCATTTGTCGGTCTGTTGAAATCACGATAGGACCAATACGGGAGGACCTAGCGGGCTTATTTTGCATACATATTATCTATTTATTAGGTTATTTGGTATTGAAAATGGGCAATATCGTTCCACGATTTCAGTTAGTCCCCATACAAAAATTATGGAGTTAAGTAAAAATTCGACAAAAAGTACTTTTAGGAAAATACTCAGACCTAAGCCCATATATTGGACCACCATTCAAAATTGACTTATATTTACAACATATGTATGTTTTGGAAGTAGAAATACAACATGCGGAATAACGGAAAAATTAGTCATTGAGAAATGGGGTGTAAGTCTTATATCTTTATATAGACTCAGTTTAGGTTGGATTATAGATTTCTACTTAGCTCAAGTTTAGCTTTAATTGCAGACCTTAATTATATTATCTTTAAATAATACTTTAACTTACCGAATATTGCCGTTTAAGCTCTACGAATCGTGTTGTTCTTTAGGTCTGAAAGTGAAAAAAAAAATAAATATCAAATTGCTGGCAAAGAAAATTATTTTAAAATTAATTTGTTTATTTCTTCTTAAAAAAATATTTTACTCAATAAGACCTCATTTCATTTTTCAATTCAGACATCAAAGATTTCTATTATCTCCTCTGAACATGTCCTTTCTTGTTCTTTATTTATTTACTTACTTAAACCAGCTTACAGATGTTTAAGATCTATTCGGAAAAAAATAAAAACACTACACTAACATCCTTTCAAAGAAATGATGTGAAAACCTCAAAATAAAATAAAAAAAATAATTTTAAAATTAAGTAAGTCTTACATCATGTTTTCATTTTCAAATAGGGTCTTGTAATCTTTCACTTCTTTACAATTGGAACAAAAGACCACTTACCATACAAACAAATTTGTCAATATCTAGTAGAATTTGAACATAGTGGTTCTTGCTATTTCATCATTTATTGTTTGAAAAACGAAAATCGAACAAAACTAAAAGAACACACAACATTGGCCAAAAGTAAAATAAATAAAGTTTAAATAAAAAGAATTTTGGTCAAAATTTTCCTTGCACTTTAAAGTGTATTTTTACAATTTTCGTATTCGAACGAACGGCAAAAAAGAAAGAAGCATTAAACATGCAAAGAAAAACTTTAGAAAAAATAACAGCTATCAAGAAAAAGAACAAAATGGGAAGTACTTTTTTATAAAAAAAAACTGTACATATATACTTGAAAACAATAGATATAGCAAGAAACAAATAAGTAAAAGTGATGTACATTTTTCGTTAGGGAGAAAGAAGGTAGAATACAAGATTCCCTGCGGGTTTAATGCACCTATGAGGAATGAAAAATATGAGCATCATTGTTCTCTGGCCTTGTCTTAGCAACTAAAGGGTAAATGAACATAAATTAGTAATTACACTCAAATAAGTCAAGCAATGTTGCTCCTATGCAAAAGGTTAGAAACAGTGGGTGGTATTTATATTCCCTAGGATAACAAACTCGACAAAAGGACTATTAAGGTTAGTAAAGTCTAGAATAGTCTTGTATAAAATCTGCAGTATAATCTGTTATTTAGTCCTGCCTATAGTATGAAATATAGTCCATAGTATAGGGCTACAGTTAAGTATATAATTAGTTTGGACCATAGTATAGTCTATAGAGTGGATTAGACTGTACTTAATAGTATGGACTATAGTCCAGCCTATAGTCTGGAATATAGTCTAGTCTATAGTCTGGCTAGAAGAAAAACTTTTTAGTCTAGTCTATAGTGTGGACTATAGTCTAGTCTATAGTGTGGACTATAGTCTAGTCTATAGTGTGGACTATAGTCTAGTCTATAGTGTGGACTATAGTCTAGTCTATAGTGTGGACTATAGTCTAGTCTATAGTGTGGACTATAGTCTAGTCTATAGTGTGGACTATAGTCTAGTCTATAGTGTGGACTATAGTCTAGTCTATAGTGTGGACTATAGTCTAGTCTATAGTGTGGACTATAGTCTAGTCTATAGTGTGGACTATAGTCTAGTCTATAGTGTGGACTACAGTCTAGTCTATAGTGTGGACTATAGTCTGGACTATAGTCTAGTCTATAGTCTGGACTACAGTCTAGTCTATAGTCTGGACTATAGTCCAGTCATTAGTCTGGACTATAGTCTAGTCATTAGTCTGGACTATAGTCTAGTCATTAGTCTGGACTATAGTCTAGTCATTAGTCTGGACTATAGTCTAGTCAATAGTCTGGACTATAGTCTAGTCTATAGTCTGAACTGTAGTATAGTCTATAGTCTGGACTACACTCTAGTCTATAGTCTGGACTACAGTCTAGTCTATAGTCTGGAGTATAGTCTATTATATAGTCTGGACTATAGTCTAGTCTTTAGCCTGGAATATAGTCTAGTCTATAGTCTGGACTAAAGTCTAGTCTATAGTCTAGAATACAGTCTAGTCTATAGACTGGACTATAGTCTAGTCCATAGTCTGGACTATAGTCCAGTCTATAGTCTAGACTATAGTCTAGTCTATAGTCTGGACTATAGTCTAGTCTATAGTCTGGACTATAGTCTAGTCTATAGTCTGGACTATAGTCTAGTCTATAGTCTGGACTATAGGCTAGTCTATAGTCTGGACTATAGTCTAGTCTATAGTCTGGACTATAGGCTAGTCTATAGTCTGGACTATAGTCTAGGCTAGTCTATAGTCTGGACTATAGTCTAGTCTATAGTCTATTCTATAGTTTGGACTATATTATAGTCAGGACTATGGTCTAGTCTATAGTCTATCTATGGTTTAGTCTATAGTCTGGACTAGGGTCTAGTCTATAGTCTTCACTATAGTCTAGTCTATATTCTTGACTATAGTCTAGTCTATAGTCTTGTCTATAGTCTGGACTATAGTCTAGTGTATAGTCTGGACTATAGTCTAGTCTATAGTCTGGACTACAGTCTAGTATATAGACTAGTCTATAGTCTAGATTATAGTCAAGTCTTTAGTTTGGATTATAGTCTAGTCTATATTCTGGACTATAGTATAGTCTATAGTCTGAACTACAGTCTAATCTATAGTCTGACTATAGTATATTCTATAACCTTAACTAAATAAATTCCTCTAAGCAAATTCCCTAGATATAAAAATTCACTTTTATTTTAATATCTTAAAGCCTACAGCACCCTTAAGAAATGTCCTTAATCGTTGAAAAACTGCACCATCGTTGACAATCGTTTCCTCAAGTTTGTTGCCAAAACACTGTCAAACTCAATGTATTCCAAATCTTCGAGTGAAGGGTACAACAAAACAAATCTTCAGATAAAAAAATAAAAATAAAAAAACTGCAGCAATGAATTTGCACAACTTAACAAGCACAAAAACGACTTAAAAAACGATGTTATGGTTCCACAGAGTAAAAGAGATACACAGTCCGCAAGTACAACAACCAGCAGAGAATTACACTCGTACAAGAAAATCTAAACTTAGGAATTGATATAGAAATGATTCCAATGCTGCGCTTTTTGTTCTTCTTAACTCTTCTTACAGTTGTTGGATGAATGTCTTTAACAGACAGAAAAAAAAAAGAAAACAAAAGCAAAACACCGTTTAAATTTTTACAAAACGTTTCATTTTTGTCTTTTGTTTTCCTCAATTCGTGTATATTCTGTAAATTGTTTTGTTGCGCTTGTTATCGTCACTATTGCAGTTGCCGTTGTATTTTGGAAAGGGTTTTCATAACGTAAAGGTAGCACCATAAACTGACGTTGCTGGTGTTGAGTTATAGGTAGAATGGAGTATAGAGTCAACGTATACTTGTTCATCTACGAGATGTACAGAGATTTGATGGTCATTTCAATGCTGTTGCGGTTGGATAATGCAATGTTACATTGAACTTATTTTATGTGAGATGTTGGCGATGATGACGATGACGTTGATGATAATAATATTTACAACAACGTCGTTGTTCCCGATATAGAGGAAAGATATGATATTAATGATTAAATGATGATAGCATGTGATGATGGGTTAAGAGATATGTATGTGAAGAACAGCGTGGAAAGATATATTTGAAACAAATGCTGATGGAGGGGTTTTGCAAAAACAAGACCGAACTAGTTTTTCTAGATTTTTTTAAATTTTCTCAAAAACTCAGCCTACGATTTCCTCCACTGCCAATGGTCTAGCAAAGCGTAGCGTAGCATAGATCAACTAAGACTTTAAGCGATTTAAGCCATTATACAAATTCAAAAAGGAGGAAATTTTCCATAATTCGATCATGGAAAATGGAGGCTGCCATGTTCGAACCACAAACCGTCCAAGTTCATAACGTCTTCATGCCTTGATCTAACGCTTGATATCTTGATCTCATTCTCAACTTGTTCATTTTATTCTTCGTTTGTGTACTATATGGATTTGGAGTACCTAAATAGTAACATATCCTTTAAGCTCTGCCTACCGAACAGATCAATTTTAGCTTGTCCTGTCTGTATAAAAAAATATGGTTGTAATCACATGTCAATCACTTTTTTATTGTCATTTATTTTGATATGTCCTTGTTATAACATACAAATAATCCCTGTAAGTAGAATCTTGTTCTAAATATAGAACAATTTTGGCAGACGTGCACGCATACATGATATGTATGACACAGGCGAAAAAGTTGAATACATTTTTGCTTTATACATATTTTTAAAAGAAGCTTTGCGACATGATGTTTTTTGTAATGTACATAAGAACTTGATTTCGATATAATGCTTTTTATTGTATCTTAAAAAAAGACATTAATCTGGTATTATTTTCAAAATTCTTTTTAAGTTTACCGATCAATAAAGATTTATTTAAGGTTGATTGAACCCTAAACATTTATGTGTAAGTCGGTATATAGTAAAAAAGGTAGTGTGGTTATGTAGTAAACTAACATACAAAAAAAAAAAAATTTAAATACTTTTTTAACGAAAACAAACATAATAACTTTAAATGTCTTCATATAAATTATGAACACTTTTCCTACATTTTTCCTGTTAACCTATCTAATTCTAGCGTTTTTAACAATGAAACTTTGTAATTATAAGAATTTTAAACATACATAATTAACTATAATTATTATCGCAGTAACTTTATTTTCGTTTACAAGTAGATTACAAGCATACCTACGTAATTTACTATAAAGGGTTCTCCAGTAAATGCGGGCCCATGCAATGATAACTTAATCCACAAAAACAGACATCCACAAAATTAAATTTAGTCAGAACATAATCGTGATCTCATTTTCTTTAGTCTGAATTGAACCTTATACAGGGCATGCTATCTTACTGAACCGCATTCACCTTAGTGTTATTGCAATCCTGGAGAAAATAGTCTGCCGGAACTATAAACTGGTCATTAAAGTTCCTTAAAGATATTTGTCTCGCGGTTTGACCAGAGAACATAACCAATCTGTTATTACGAGAACCGGTGGCGGCCTCATTCTTTTTGATCTCATTTCCTTTAGTCCGAATTGAGCCATATCCGGG